GGAGGATCCTGGCTCGTTGTTTAAAAGCACAGAGGACCTGTGTTTGGTTTCCAGCGCCCACACAGCAGCTCACAACCATCTATAACTCTAGCTCTAGGGGATCTGATGTCCTCTTCTGGCCTCCACAGGTACTGCACACACATGATGCACACACAGTCAGGCATAACACCCATACACATAAAGTAAAAGAAAAGAAAAATTTTAATTTAAAAAGGCAACCATGAATCCATCTATCTCCACACAGCAGTGAAGCCACAGAGGCTCTAGACCAGAGGACTCCACCATGTGACATCGGGAAGGAACAGACATTTTATCAGCTCACGGGGAGCTGACACCATGGGGACAGGACTGTGACATGGCAGCGCTCAGTGCTCGGCTTTAAGGCTCATCAATTAGTAGTTACATTTTATTAGAACTAGACTGTGTCTCAACAGAGACAGCAGCATCTTTTTATTTATTTTTGTTTTTTTATTGTGTGTGAGAGGGTGTTGACAGCTGTGTGTGCTCATGGGGAAGCCAGAGGAACTGTCTCTCTCTCTCTCTCTCTCTCTCTCTCTCTCTCAACCTCTAAGCACTGTAGCTTAGTTAGGCTGTCTGGTCAGAATTCTCCCAGCACTCTCCCAGAATTGGGATTACAAGCACGGGATAGAAAGCCACGTTCACTTTTATGTGGGCATGGAGATTTGAACTCAGATCCCCAGGCTTGTGCAACAAGTATTCGCATGGCTGCTCTGTGAAGGCTAATTTATTCTGCACACAAAGGCAGAGCTCTTGCTCTAGCTGGGTTGCTATACCCCAAGCCAACAGTAGGTGTTGCTAGCAGGCCCATTCCTCCCTCCACTCAACACTGAATAAAAGGTATCTTTACTCAAACAGAATGGCATGGACTCTGTTGCCTGCTTTCTGACCACTTCCCCCTGAAAGAAAACAAAAATGTCAGTGATCACGCTGTCCCCAGTGAGGGCTCTCAATATGTCCCCCAAGAGACGGGATGGTGAGTTTGCTTCTCCCCCAGGCAGACAACAACACGACGGGCTCAGACCCACACCATATGTCATCTGAAGGCTTCCTGCGGGGACCCCAGGAGACATAGCTGGGACACCTCTTGGTCTCCCCCTCAATGGAACCTGTGAGGGAACACTGACGTCTCTCGGGGGCAGTCCTGTGGACATTCCCAGTCTCGGCGCCTTGGTAAATGTCTTTTCTATCCCCTCACAGCAAGCTGAACATGATAACAATATTTTCCCAGCTCCCCCAGAAGAGAGAGTCGGGTGTTAAATGGAAGATTTGCTTGAGCGCATGGCTGGGACCTAAGCAAAATCATATTAAGGAAGTCATATTTATTATCTCCAAAAAGCAACCTGCGTGGCAGCATGCAGGAGGGCCAGATGGGAGGCTCAGGTGCACAGAGAGCCAACTCAGGTCTGTCACAGGGGTCTGAGCCCGGGAGGCATGGTCCTCTGTAGCTGTGGAGGTGGAAGGCCCGGCAGATGTAAGACATGGGTCCCCAACATAGAATGCAGACACACTGTCAGGACAGGGTGCACCTGGGAGAACCACAAGGGTTGTTGAAGAGAGAAAGGAACAAATGGGGACCTCAGGGTCCAGTGAGCCGAGTCGCTGTTGCTCAGGTGCCCAGCCCAGGGCCGCAGAGGAGCTGGAAGCCATGTCTGCTGGACAAGGGTGAGCTTCATCCAGAGGAGGGGCCTTCAGGCACGAAACAGTGAGGTTCTCCATGGAGGAGAGGAAGGTCCAGGAAGGAAGGGGAAGAGAGACGCGTTGGATCTCAGCTCGGCACCTCCTGGCTGATGTGCCATCACATCGAGGTGACTTTATTGGGCCTCTAGGCCCACATCTACACCCACACTGCAGACCACACCAGTCGTCAGGGTCAACCCCAGGTTCTGTCTATCCGCCTCCTAGCTTGCTCAGGAGGGGGGTCCTGCTCCAGACCCCACCCCCAGTCTCTGTACACTGGAATCACAACCATGCACTCCCCACAGGGTGAGCACTTTACTCACTGCATGACATCCCCTGGCCCAACTTCCTCTGCTCATGAAGGGAGAATGCTGGGCTGTTCCTTGGGAGAGAAAAAAAAATCAATCCACTTATAATTGTAACAACAGATGAGCTGAGTGTTAACACACCTGTCAACCCAGCACTCAGAAAGCTGAAGCAGGAGGCTCTCAAGGCCAAGACTAGCCTGGGCTACAAAGCAGGACACTGTCTCACAGGGGGAAAATCTCAGATAATTGTAAGGACTTGAGATATCATGAACGACACCTAGCCAGGGCTAGCACATGGGTAGGGGAAGAAGGGAAGATGGACTATAGCTTCAAAATAAATTGACTCAGAGTCAGACTGTCCCCTTGTTCAAGCTCAGCTTGGCTGGGACCAGCATTTGTCCCATTTAACCTCGGAGGATAGTGGTTCTTTGGTGGGGCCTCTGCCGGATAGCGACACTGGGGCAGGTCACAAGACACACATCAGAAGCGAGCACAGTCGCAAGGCCTGCAAAGGCTTCTTCACATGCTTAGGGAAGGAGCAACCGTCTTTCGGAGGGTTGGCCTCTGGAGCATTTCGTATTAGCTTGAAAAAGTTGGGAGGGCTATGCAAATGAGCCTAATGACCCAGCATATTCCTAGTGAAAGCACTGGGTGCAAGGCTTCCCTCTGCACAAGGTGGAGAAAATTATCTCGTTGGTGCCTACAGTGGGCTTGTTGGTGCTGACATTGTCCTCCTGTCACAGGGAATGGCTGACATAGAGGTAAGAGCCTGACTGAGCTGTGTGGTAGGGGTTTCCCTCTGTTTACAACCCCAGTGTAGTGTCGCTTCTACAAATGTTAAGGTATTTGGTATTTAAACCTGGAGGATGATGGCCCTGAGATGCTCACAAACCAACACCTCCAGGTGCTGTGAGATGGAGCAGAAATTGGGGTACTTGGTGAGAGCGGAACAGGAATTCCAATTCTGATCCCACGTCCTCGAATACCAAGCTTTCCTGCCTGGGCCTCTTCAGGCCAAACACAAGATGGCATGGCCAGATCCAAAAGTTTTCAGGGACTTTCACAGGCTTCATCTGCTGTCACTCAGCCAGGGTGACACTCGTTGATGCGAGCTATCTAAGTCAAGCAGGTGACTGGAGAGCTGTCCAACATCTGTCGTAGACTTCCTCACAACATAAGTCTAGGTTTACACGTGTGTGGGCAGCGCCAGACAAACCTGCACACACCTGTGCATGATTATTTAAAATCCACAGAACTGGCGCTCTAAAAACTTCCACAGCATACACAGCATGAGAGTAGATGTGAACGCGGGATGAGTGCTCTTCTCTTCAGGTATTCAGTGCGGCCAACAGGTCACAGGCCTGGAACCCAGCCCTTTTTGAAAAGTTGGCTCAGCTGTGTGGTCACAGACTGCAGCTGACAGGACAGAGGCTGCCTGACATCATAAATGCATCGGGTCATATTCTCTCTATTTCTGAGATTCACTCCCATGGGGAGACACAAAGCACCCTCCGCCGCTTCTCTCAAGGTCCCAAAGTCAAACTGAGGCAAGATTCCACCAAAGTTCACTCTGGGCAACAAACATGTATTGGGCTTCCTTAAAGAAGGCTGAATAGTTTCTGGTGAACTTGACACAGGCTATAGAGTCATCTGGGAAGAGGGACCCTCAGTTGAGAAAATGCTTCCATAAGATCAGACTGTAGAGCCAGGCATAGTGGCGTACACCCGTAGTTCCAGCACTCAGGGAGGCAGGGGCAGGCAGATCTCTGTGAGTTTGAGGCCAGCCTGGTCTACAAGGCAAGTCCAGGACAGCCAAGGCTACACAGAGAAACCCTGTCTCTAAAAGCCAAAAACAAACATAGATCAGGGAATAGGCAAGCCTACAGAGCATTTTCTTGATTATTGATTGACACGAGAGGACCCAGCCTGTTGTAGATGGGGCCACTTTGGGCAGGTGGTCCTGGGTCTTACAAGAAAGCAGACTGAACAAGCCAGTAAGCAGCATTCTTCCATGGCATTAGCTCCTGACTCCAGGTTCCTGTACTGAGTTCTCTCAGTGCTGAACAGTGGTGTGGAAGTATGCCAAATAAATCCTTTCCTTCCCAGGTTGTTTTTGGCCGTGGTGATTCATGAGAGCAATGGAAATGCTGAGAGAAATTGGTACCAGGACTGTGGGATATTGTGACAGACCTGGCCATTGTGCTCTGGACAGATTGTGGAAGGACTTTGGAACTTTAGGCAGGAAATGCCATTGAGTGTTTGAAGCTTGGGTAGCTGCTCTGTGGGAGCTTGGAGGATAAGAATGTTGAGAGACAGGCAAACAATGCAGGCCTGGTGGGTGACGTTTTTTACTCTATATAGCCGTTTGATGGTGTGAATTAAGGGTCTGCAGTTCTGGTGAGCTAGGGCTGAAGGATCAGCTGTGGTTAACAGGAGATCAGAAACTACTGAAGTGAAACCTTTGTGTTACTGGGACAATTGATGCTGGTCAGCTGGAGACCAGCATCCCTGAGGATCAGAAATCTGGGAGTGTTTCCTTATGGTCAGCACACAGAGCTGTGCTTCAGAGAGAGCCAAGGCTGCATCTCCAGCTGGCAGCTGAACTTAGTAATGTGTAGAAGTCACCTCCGTGGCAAGAGTTTTGAAGGAAAGGAAGGGTCATGAAAAGCAGCTGAGGAGTGGCACTGTGAGAGGCCACTGGCAAAGGTGTCGCCTCCGTGGCAGTTGAAGCCCAGGACTGAAGGGGTCGTGCAGAGACGTTGAGGCTTGGCACCATGAGAGGAGCCCAGGGAAGGCTACTGGTAAAAGTGCAGCCCAGTTGTAGCACTGGTTCCAGCATTTTGGAGGTGCCAGTGCCATGGGAAGACTGCCAAGGACAAGCAGCCATGCAGCCAGCCTGTGAGACAAGCTGTGTGTGCCGAGGGAGAAGGGGGGGCAGGGAAGCCACCCAGGCCTTTTGGAGGAGCGACACTGTGTTGTTTAAACTGTTGGAGTCTTGTATCGCTTTGTTAACGTGGATTGTGACTGTGCCCTGGTTCTTCCCTCTTGAGGTAAGAAAGCATTTAACTTTTTTTTTTTTTTTAAGCAGAAGCCCACAGTTGAGAGATTTTGAGCTGTGGAAGAGGCTTTGGCTTTTTAACAGAGATATCGAATATTTTAAAAAAGACTTTGGTCTTTTAAATGTCTGAATTTTTAAAGGCTGTGACTTTTAAAAGTTGGGTGTTTTATATTGTAATTTTGATATTAATGTGTGATCTTGAAGATGAACGAAAAAGGAAAGGATATGGCTTAACTGTGATATGTTTGTGTGTCTAATTGACAAGGGTTCAATTTTCCTGGCTAGTTTTATGTCAGCTTCACCCAAGACAGAGTCATCTAAGAAGAGAGAATCCCAATTGAGAAAATACCTCCCTGAGGGTGGCTGTAGGTAACCCTTAGGGCATTTTCTCCATGACTGATGGGAAAAGACCCAGGCCATTGTGGGTGGTGCTATCCCTGGGCTGGTGGTCCTGGGTTCTATAAGAAAGCAGGCTGAGCAAGCCATGAGGAGCAAGTCAGTAAGCAGCATTCTCCGTGGCCTCTGCCTCAGTTCCTGCCTCCAGGTTCCTGCCCTGTGTGAGTTCCTGTCTTGACTTCCTTCAGTGGTGAGCAGGGATGTGGAAACATAAGCCAAATAAAGCCTGTTCTCCTCAAGCTGCTTTTCGGACCTAGTGTTTCAGCACAGCACAGTACTCTAACCACGACACAGAGTTTAGGTGAGGAGTTGCTTACAGGGGAGTAGGCACTCTTGTCTCAACTGGCCACAGTTAGAAAGCCAACACAGATAAGAGGCTTCCCCTATGGCTGTGCAGATGGAGTCTACCCTGGCATCTCTGTACTTCGTCCCTCTGAGCCACAGGCAGTGTTTTCAGATGGTGGGGACTGGCTGGATACTCAGCCCCTACTCTGAGCCTCAACTGAGAGAGCATGTCCACCAGCCCTGGCAGGACAATCTTCTGCAAATAAGCACAGCTAAACACCCGATGTAGGTTTTTTGGGCTCAAAAGATAGCCATTCACTCAAGATGTTCTCTTGCTCTTTGAAGCCCATCAGGACCTCAGAAATCCCAGGCTGAATCTTTCCTCCTGGGCTAGCATGTCCAGAGTGTTGGGTGATAGTCACATAACCCCCACACACACATGTACCACCTCTGGAAGCAGTAGCAGAGGCTCCAGAACACGAAAGACTATCACCCCAACTCACAACACCACAACACCACTATTTTGTGGGCTTTTTTTTTTTCCGTAGATGGTGGGTATCGGCATGCCCTTGCCCTCAGGATAGTGTTCTAATATTCTAGAGTGTGCTTGGAAGCTGCAACTATTTTGAACTTCGGTGACCTTGGGTTAGTGTGATGTGTTTCTTCCTCCTGGTCCTACTTGCAGATGCCTTACTGCACGCATGGGATTTAATAAGAGGGGCTATATCCTAACCTGCAACCCTAGAGTTCTAGACTGTGGAGCCTGGGTCCCGCAGTGCTTTCCACTTGAAGCTGTTGACCTACTGAGTGACTTCATCCAGAATGAAATCCCACCTCCAGTTCCCTGCCCTGTCCATGGACCCCAGGGAGCTCAGGCCTCAGAGCTATTGGATCCCTCTGCCCTGGAGGACCCCATGAGCTGTGGTCTACCAGATCCTGGGACTGGCTACAGCACCATGCCACAACCAACCCATGCCAGGTCTGGATCTGCGAGCGGCAGCCGTTTGTCCCCACCCTGCCTCCTGTCGGCTGTCTCAGGTCAGAGCAGATTGCCTGGGATAATGGGCTATTAATCGCCAATTCCTCCCAAATGTGACACTTGCCTGGATAGGAACAGGCTGTCCCCATAACTCCTCTCGATGGGCCCTGGCACTGCCATCCTTCTGGGCTCTGCTGCTCAGAGGGAACACCTGCTGGAGCCGGGGCTCCCATCTATCTAGAGAAGCCCTTGGGTTTCGACTGGAACACTGCCACCTGGCAGGCCTGGCCTGGGAGCTTCTGTGTCATACAAGCACACGGGATTCAGCAGGGACTGTGGCAAGGCTGCACTGTGTCCCCAGGGAGGGTCCAGCACGGCCACTGAGGTCAGCCGAATATCCCGAGCAGGAGAAACAGCCAGCTTCTTTGTACTGTGTGCTCTTGGAGGCTATGTGCTGTGTGGACAGTAACTGTGATTCTACTGGATTTTTTTCCATTGGTGGTTAAGTCTCAAGCCATATTCAAGCCAAGGCCCAGCCTAAATGCTGGGGAGCAGAAATGAGTGGGCTGTTCAGCCCCCAGGGGACCGGTCCCGGAAGGTCACCTCCTGAAGTTGTACCTGACAGCTGTAGCCAGCAGGGTCTTCTGAACCTGGCTCAAAGGCTTATAGCATGTGGCATCAAAGGCAAGGAGCAGAACTTGAGGCTTGACCTCCAAAGACTGTGGTTCTGGCCACAGGAGGCCAGTAGACCTTCCTCATCCTTAAGGACTCATTTTAAAATTCTAAAAGGTGTGTGTGTGTGTGTGTGTGTGTGTGTGTGTGTTCTTCTCTTCCTTCTCCTCTCCCTCCGTCCCTCAGTGCCTTTCTCTCTCTCTCTCTCTCTCTCTCTCTCTCTCTCTCTCTCTCATTGATGCTTCCAAATGCCTCCACGATTGTTCCACCAATCTCCAGCTTGTATTTGGATTCAAATTGGATTTGCGACTCCATCATCCCACAGCCTCCTGTGGTGCCCCGTCACCTTCAAAACAAGGCATACTCCTTACCATGTCCTCAACAGTCCAGCTCAAGCTGTCCCTTCTACCTTTCCCTGGTACCCTCTGCCATGTAGTTGGCACTCAGCATTCCTGAGCATGTAGTTCTAGCTCTCACTCCTGTGGTCTGTGGGAAGGCATGGATAGTCCTTTGCATACACAATCCTCCGGGATCTCCACAGAGTCCTTGACAGCTCCTGGAGGAAGCTCTCTATCCACCTCACTGCACAGCTATGATGGCTAGAAAGCTCCAATGCCAGGACTCAGGCTTCAAAAAAGGTGCGTGCCAACAGTGTGGCCTAGAACTCGGATGGGGAGATAGGAAGGAGGAAGAACAGAAAGATGAGATGGAAGAGAACCTCTGCACAGACCGTCAGACGGTCAGACAACTGGGACAACGATGGCCAGTACCAAGGGCAGAGTGCCACACTTCAGACCGCCCCAGCAGTGGTGATGAGGATCCCGGGCCCAGGGTGGACCCCAGCTCCTCCAGTGGCTCTGCAGTGACCCATATGAAGGAGTCTCCAAGTGAAAGGATCAGGCACAGAGCTGGGAGGCTCCTGAAACAAAGCCAGGACTCAGAGACAGGCAGCCCATCCTGTTTTCAATCCAAACTTTTTGGTTTGGGGCTTTGTTTTATTTGGGTTTTCAGTTGTGATGAACAATAGATATTCTAAAGGCTAGGCTGCAGAAATTGCCAGAACTCAGGAGGGGGTTCTAAAGGTAGGGAAGGCTCTGAAGGTTCCTGGTCTGAAGTTTGCTGTGCAACCTTTTTTAGGTTTGGTGCCCTCTCTGAGACTCAGCTGGAGAGTCAGACTCAGTGTAGCAGGGGTGAGGGGAGATTGGACTGTTCATACCCTCCACAAGCCTTTGCTGGGTGTTCTGCAGGGCTCTGGAGATGGAGACAGGACTGGGTTGCTGTGCTCCTGAGCTGATGACCTGGAGAATGAGGTGGGCGTCAGCCAGAAGAAACAAGTCCTCAAATGAGGTGAGTTATCAGGAAGTACCAGGATGACCTGGCTTGCAAGGTAAGTGGAAACGTGGAGGCCTTAGGTCCTGAGTTCTGTGACACTCAGTCCACATTATCCTTGAACTTTCTTGGTCCCCACACTCAACAGGGATCTCTGCTCACAACCCCAGGACTCCAGAGCCCGGAGGTATCACAGACCCTACTCCTAAGCACCAGCCCCTCACACCATTGCCCCTCCCTGCCTCCCACACCCTGCTCCCCCCAACTCCCATTCCCCCCCCCATTTTTCTCTCTGCACTTCTTGCCTTTCATTTCTGACCAAACTTCAGATGACGGGAACACTGATAAATTAATGATTGTAATTAATAAAAATTGACTCTGTGCTAATAAATTATTATGAAATGGCCTGTCAGCATTTTAATGAAATGCAGAAAGCTGCTGTAACGAGATGAGTGTGTGCACTTTCTCAGCCAAGACGTGAGGGATTGTATCCACGGGGCACCCGGGGTCTGCAGGGGGAGGGTCCTGGTGGAGAAGGACACAGAGACGGTCCCCTGAGAGGGGCCCTCAGGAGCACCTGTGTTCTGTACCCCCATGTCCTCCCCCACGTCTGTCCACCTGATCTCAGCATCCCTGTGGTGTGGATGCCATCACAGCCCTTTCCTTTTACAAATGATGGAGCCACCATCTAGACACCGCCCTGGGTTAACAGGTCTAGGATATAGAGCTGAGATTGTCCCCAACCCTGCTCCAGGCTCTTGTTCTGTTACAGCACCATTGAAAGCCTTGGGACTGAAGCTGGAGAGACAGCCCAGCGGTTAAGCGCCCTGTGCTGCTCTTCAAGAGGATCCAAGTTTGGTTCCCAGCACCCACGTGGGAAGGCCTCAAGCTCCTGTAACCCCATCTCCAGTGGATCTGATGCCCTCTTCTGGACTCCACAGCTACCCATCTGCATGTATGCATGGAAACACACACACAAAAATAAAATAAATACTTAAAAACAACAACAGCAATAACCTTGGCACCCAGGAGACAGAAGTGTGAGCTCAGCATCTGCTTAGAATGGAGTTTCTTGGCCTCGGTTTACCTGGAGGCATCTAGGAGCCTCTCTGTCCCCACTCAGTGTGACAGGCATTGCCCCTGTGCCTCTGAGGGTGAAACAGATGGGAGGCTCAGCAGTGCCCTCCTCCCCGCAACCCCACAGGCTCTGCGGAGCGTTTGATGTTACGAGGTTGTCCTAGCCCTTCATAAACGGGAGCCATGAATGTAAAACAACTGATTTTTACAACAGCATTGTTTAACCCTGCACCAATTAAAAGTACCTGTTATTAAAAAAGGTAATTATGCAGTAATTAGTTTGACACAAGACATTAAGCAGATTATTATCAAAGCCAGGGGAACTAGTAACTTCCCCAGCAACTGTCCTCCCGTCCCTACCCTGGGGCCTTGGGCAGAGCTGAGGCCTCACTGTAGCCGTCAGTAGCTCCGGGAATGTGGACCTCAGTCTCCAGAGCAGCTTGTAGCTTTCCAGTGGAGAAGGCCCAGCCTGGAGGGCTGCAGAACACTTCCCAGAAGACCTTGTGGTGCCCAAGCAGACGTGAGCAGACTGTCAGTGGGGGTGAAGCAGGGAGGATCTGCAACCATGAAAGGGGAGAGGCAGGGGAGACTCCACCCCAAAACACATAGTAGCACTGTGCTTGCATTCTCAGTATGCCTCCAGGGGAGCGGGAATGAGGGACGAAAACAGGTCACTAAGTACCGAGAGTGTCAAAGAGGGTAGACTCTCCCAGCAACTTTGATATATGCAAAGTACACTGGGGCTGGCTAGACATATCCCTGGGCAAGGGTGCCGAGTTCCATCCCTGGGACTCACAACAAAGAAGACTAAACTCTTAAAAGTTGTCCTCTGACCCCATGCATGCACACGCACACTATACACACATCACACACACGCAATCTCTTGTATGCCATGCACATGTATATGACACATACACACGTGCACACACACACAAGCATACAAATATATACATACATAAACATACCCCCCCACACACACTACATACACATACCCCCACATGAACACTACACACACATAACCCCAAACACAACCCCCCACACACACATGCACACACACAATAAAGCTTTATGTTTAATTTCAATATACATTGGATGGAGTCACTTTTGTTCTTAGCCATCCTCCAGGCCGAATCCCTCTGGGCCTGTCTGGTCTTGCTCTCTTACTGTCCTCCTGAGTTCTTCCTGTGTGTCTTCTCTTACTTCCCTCTCATTAGCTTGTGAAGTCTGCACAGACACATGGGTTACAGCATAAGCAACTGACGGTGTAGACAGTACAGATGTGGGAAAGCTGGGTGTTGACGTGTAGAGGATGGGACTGGACCCTCCCCTCCCCCTCACTGACACAAGTCAGTCCTGAAACATACAAGGCGATAAAACAGCTGGAAGAAAACACTGGGATGGGGATGGCACAGAATATGGACTTGGGGTTAAGACTTCAGGCACCTGCATCAAAGGGAGACATGGATACTCACGCTGAGAAATGTCTGCACTGTTGACACTTTCACAACCGGAGACACAGGCCTCAGAACAGCAGCTATCAGCCGAACTCACCTCTGGCTTCTCAGATTGCCAGGAGCCAAGTGGGGACACAAGGACCAAGCAGCTCTGTGAAGAGCCCCTAGGCCCAGCCCCCAGCAGCCTCGTGCTCCCCTTCTTCTGAGCAAGCCCATCAGTGCCCAAGGTCCCACCTCAGCCATGAGACAGTTGTGTGTTCTCAGGGAACTTGGCAACCTTGTGGACATTGACTTCCTCCCCTTGGAGCTAGTGTGAATTGCTGTGAGGTGCTTGGCAGAGAGGTGTCTCCGCCACAGTCTCCCCACGAGAGAGCCTTTGTTATTGTTAGCCTGTCCTGTGACCACTGACCTGTGTCCCTCCAGCTCTCCTCTCCAAAAGATGAGGAAGTGTCTGTTAACACAAGGCAGGCACTGTTAAAGAAGCAAATTAGATCCCCTTCCACATAGCCATGTGAAGACACAAGCAAGGCACAACATCTGACCCACCAGGCATGCCTCCAGAAGTCTTGGCAAGGCAGACTTCTGGAGTCTGGCATTGTGTAGCATCATCCAACTTCCCCTGCTTTACTGACGAGGACCCTGAGGCCTGGAGATGGAAGACAACCCGGATGGGAAGAAGCAGAGACAGGATTTGAACTTCAGTCGCTTTCAGAGTCTATCCAAGATGCCTTCTTACCCCCGAGGACCATATACTCTGGTGGAGGGAGTGGGGGGCCTAGGAAACCTACCCTTTCTACACCCCTCCTTGGTGCTCTTTCCCCATCTTTCAGTGTAGGGGTCAGCACGTCTTCCCCACGAGACCACAGGCCCAAAAGAGACTGCCCAATTTGCACTAGCTCCCTGACTGCCTCTAAGGCCCTGCCTGTATCCTCGGATCCCTACAGGATCTCCTGCCTTCCCTGAAAGGCTTGGGAATCCAGGAATAGAGGGGAGACAATTCCTGGCAGCAGGCCTCCTGCCCATCCTGTGGTTGCCATGGCAACAGTGCCAGCATCCATCTCCTTCAAGCCCCTCTTCCCGGCTCTGCGTCCCTCCCTCTCCTGTCACGTCAGATGAAGGACAGGGGCTGAGATCTAGCCTTGGAGCTAAAGGGGGAGCACGAGGAGGAGGAGGAGGAAGCCAAAGGCAGAGTGGGGCAGGCTCAGAAGGGGCCGGAGAGGTTCCTGGGGCCCAGCATTCCCTCCTCTGAGGGTCTCTCTTTGGCTTTCTGGGTACACAGTGCACGTCAAGCATCGTGCTGAAATGCAGCGTAGATGGAGGGATCCTCCTGGGGGAAGTTTTCTGTGGTTTTCTTCCTCCAGCCTGCCTCTGGCAGGCTGAGCCCACAGCACTGCGCCTCATGCATCTCAACATATCTCATACTGCTGTTTGAAAAAACGTCCTTACCCAACCTCCCTCCTTTCTTCGTTTGTTGTGGTTGTTCTTTTTTGTTTATTTGTTTTTGTTGTCATTGTTTGGTTTGGTTTGGTTTGGTTCTTGTTTTTCAAGACAGAGTTTCTCTGTATAGCTTCTGGCTGTCCTGAAACTCACTCTGTAAACCGGGCTGGCGTCAAACTCAGAGATCTGCCTGCCTCTGCCTTCTGAGTGCTGGGTTTAAAGGCATGTGCCGCCATCATCAAGCTAGGTTTCTTTTACTTTTAATTGTGCTCCTGTGCAAGTCAGTTCATTGGTGCGCATGAGCGCAGATGTCCAATCCCTTGGAATTGGAGTTACAGGCAGTCGTGGGCCACTCAACACAGGTGCTGGGAAATGAACTCATGTCTTCTGCAAGAGCAGGGTGTGCTTTTCATCGAGGAGCTGTCTCTAGGCTCCAGTCCCAGCTTTTCTAACTGCAAAGCCCAGGTCTTCCTGCAGTACCAGGAGGCTTCTGAGATCAATCTGGAAAGAACAGAGTAATCGTGCTTGACTGTGAAGCATGGCCAAGGACAGGGGATACAGTCTAACAAGGACCACAGCTTGGTCTGTGGCCTCGGGGTACCCCTTCCCCTCCACCAACAGCTCAGGAATGCAGGCACGGCCCCAGGAAGACTGACAATAACTCTGAGGCATGATGACGACTTCCCAAGGAGGCTTGGACCTGCCACACCAGGAGGCTCTCAGCTCAGCCTCAGATCCTCTTCTCAGTCCCCCTCGCAGACTGGAAATCAAGCCCTAGATCCTGTGAAGATTAGCAAGAGGCAGGACCTGAACCCAGATAGAGGAGAGGAGAGCCCTTGCTGCCGTTGTACCGAATTTGTCCAACAACCTCCACCACACCAGATGACTGACAGAATGATTTTGCCACAACCTTCGAAGCTTGAAAAGACCAGCTTGTGTCACACTGTTCTTGAGGACAGAGGACAACTGGGCCTAACAGGGTGTCAGCAGTTGGATCTAGAGACAGTCAGAAGGATCATCTATGGAAGTGCCTCAGCGGCGGCCCCTTCAACCAGCCAAGCTGAGCTGATCTCTTCCTCATTCTCCCTCTTCTGCCTCATCCTTTTCCACACTTAAGACCCCTGGAGTCCCTAGGATGGGTTCTTCATGCCACGGCCAAAGATTTCCCGGCCTTGATCCCAGCTGCATGCTCCCCTCTACTTTGTTGCAAAACCTGACAGAGATACTGGTCGCCTGGATAGTAAAAACATGCTCCCTGCCTTCTATGGAGCCAGGAAATCGGGCAACCACATGGGCACTGGAGAGGCATTGGTTTGGGGTTAGAGCCTCTTCAGCTGAGTACCGGGGAAACAGGCTCCCCTCCCCAGCACATCTGCTGACCTCCCCACTCCCTGGGCTTCCTGCGCCCTCTCCCTCCTCCACTGGAAATATGTCTACCCCCGTTCCTTCGGGGTCTCTTGTGGTCTCCAGGCTTTTTTTGCTCCTGTGGTTCTCTGGCTGGAGGGTGCCACCTTCTTTTACATCTCCTCATATGACCTCATCTGTCCCTCAGTGACCTTTCTCTTCTCCCTCACTGTGGCAGCTGGCCATAGGACACAGATCCACCAGGGTGAGAACTGTCACTGTTATTTCAGACATTACCACTGTGAGTCTACAAAAGGGGGATTTCTTTAAGTGTAATTTACTGGCATCCGTGCTAGAGTGAGAAAACGTAACTTACATTCAGCCTGACAAAGACATGTACCGCCTCCTCTCTCACAACAACTCCGAGGTTGAACACTGTGCTAAGTGCCGCTATTAGAATCCAAATGACAGAGTCCTCCGCTGAAACCCTTCTGCCGGCCTCCCTGGCGGGCAGAGCTGACTCTGTCTGGGCTGTGAGGATCACCCCATAAAGCTCACAGAGGCCTCAGGAAAGAGAAAGAGAAGGGGCCTTGCCGATGTCACCTCCTGTCTCAGTTTAGATGCTGCCTGAAGAGAGAGCCAATCCCAACAGGCCTGGGGAGAAACCCTTGCTGAAAGAGACTCT